CACTTTGCTAGTCAGAGTCTTCTAGAAACCAGTTTGCTCCAGTCTGCAATCTGCGTGACCCCTTTTAGTGCCATTCTACAGTTAGGAAAAGTAGTGTATTTAAATTCCTACCAAGACCAAGACCAAGTCTACACACCACAGAATTCTCATTTGTTTTGATTTAGCATATGCATGAGAGAGAATCTGTTCTAATGTACCCAGAACCCCCAGCTGAGACTCAACACCTGATCTGCTGAACAGGCAGAGAAACTTGTGAGAAGGCTTTGCAAAGACAATGGCCGTATTATTGGCAGACGACACATAAAGGTGTGGTCACATAGAAACATAGAGGAACATAGAAAAAGAGGTAAAAGAAGTTTTAAAGTATAATGATGGTTACATTGTTGGAGGTACCAGCCTCAAAGTTAAGTGTCCTGCACTCAGCAGGACCGGATGAATAAGGCTGCATTATCTTCATGCTTCTGGAGCTCTCCTACTTCCCTCACCAGGCTGGTGGTTCCCAAATGGGCTGCTCACAACAGTGCTGGACTTGCTGTCCCTCCTGAACGGACAGAGCTCTTACTGGCTCTCAAAGAACACCCAAATCACTTCTGGGGCCATCTTCATGTGACTGGTAGTAAGCATAGATGGTTATTAACAGTTGGGGTCGATGATCTTAAAGGTCTTTTCCAACCTAAACGATTCTGCGATGCTATGCATTCAAAGCGATTAAACACATTTCAATTTCCAGGACTCCTCCAAGGGCAGACTCCAGCCACGGTCCCCCACAGGTGTTGATTTTGGGGGCCATCGACAGGATCTGTGTCCAAGCTCCGCCACCCCCACCGATGCCGGTTGTTCCCGGCTCGGCCCCCGACGGCGCGCTACTGCATGGTTCATCCCAGCGCTTGGCCCCCGCCCGCCTCCGGGGGTAGCCCCGGCCAATAGTCCTTCGCCTGTCGCCGTCCGTGCCCGGCCCCGGGTCCGCCCCGTTAAACGGCGGCCCCGGCGCGGAGCAGCGCGCCCTCCTCGCCGCCCTGCCCGGCCCGCGGCCGCCATGGGGTGCGAGCGCGGCGCCGCGCTGCTGCTGCTGCCGCTCGCCCTGCAGCTCTGCCCGAGCCGCGCCGCCGCGCCCGCCCCGCGAGGTAAGGGGCCCGTTCCCCTGGCTGCGGCGAGATCTCCTTTCCCCTCTTCCATTCGAGAATGCTTGCAGCGTCCCGTCCTCTGCCCTCTGACGGGAGCCCTGGCTGGTAGGGAACGGGAACACCTCTACAGGTGCGAGAGAAGCCGGAGCCGTCGGGGCGCGGGGCGCGCTCGCGGAGTCGCGCCGGCGTCCCCCTGCCGTCCTGTGTCCCGCGCGACTCGCAGTGGGGACTGGAGGAGGTCGCGGTGCAGCCGCTCCCCTGTAGTCAGCAAAAAAGTGTTTTTCTACGGGGGCTGGTAGGCGTGTGGAGCGTCTGAAGAGCGCTTTTTCCGTTGCATGTTCTCAGGAATGAGAAGTGAATTGCTAAGCCGTGAAAACTCGCCGGGAAAACTCTACTACCTAGTAAAGTGCATAGAAAAGGTGATACTTCTATACCCAGCATTGCTGTGGCAATATTATGCACATAGTAGGTCAGGAGCCGCTGTATTTTAGGGCTTGAGTAAAGTGGGTAGTATCGCTCTCCAGTTGTGCAGCTTGTGACTGGAACCAGCTCGGCTACTGAGAACAGCGGGTAGTGTAACTTAGTGCCACTCCTGGAGCCTTAAAGCTGCTCCTGGTTCTCTCTGCGTCTCTCTGCTGTGACTGGAGAACTAACTTGGATGGTCTAAAAAAGCTGGTGTGACGTGGCAACAGAGTTAAGGGAAAGAAGGGGTGTTTTAGTTTGAGCTCCATCCTCTCCTGTGCCACTAAATTCAGTCCTCCGTGCTTTGTCCTCTTAGGGCTTCTCATCATGTCTTTTAGTTTTCACCTAAAGAGCTAGCCTTGATGTTTTGGGGCAGATCTCCAAAGAGTGTTTTGCCACTGTCTCATGGTGTAGCTCATGTCTTGTTAGCATTTTCATAGGAAGGTGAGGAGCCCCCTTCTAAAAACCACAGAAAGAGGGTGGGGGAGAGAATTCCTGGTCTGTCTCACAAGTGGGCTCAGTTTAGCCTGGTGAGAATGCCTGCTTGTACTCAGAGGCATGGTGGAGTCATCACTCTCACCCCATGAATTGAAACCAGCTGCTTGTGTCTTTCAGCTTTAGCAGTCCTTTTCTATCTATTTGCTCTCAAGTCTGCCCTTCTAGGGAGAGGAAGGAAGAGATTCTACAAAAAATGAAATCTGAAATCCTTGTGGGTCTTTTTTACCTGTTCTTTCCAAACAAGCAATTGTCTCTGTAACGCCTAGGAGTTGTCTCTCTGCCAACTCTACTAAGGAGGTAAAATAAGTTTTCATAACGCCATTGCTCTTCCACTGGCCACATTTGCTAGCATGTGTGTAAGCTATGCTTAGATGGATCTGGTTACATACTGCATCTATATACTGTAGATTGTGAAGATACCCCAAGAAAGGGTTTGATAACATGGCTGAGGAAATGTACTTTGTAGAATGCAACTACCAAACCAGTTTGAGTATTCATTTAAATATGCAAATTTCAAAAATTTCAATAAATATTTTCCGTAACATTAGACAGATGTTTCCCAATATTATTCATTACTTTTATAACATTTTTAAGTGCTTAACTCTCACATACATTAATTAGTATCACAGGAATTGATATAAATTCAGCCAATAGACGTAGAAGAACTGGACATAATGTATAGCCATATTCCATGCTCTCAAAGGCTTAAGTATTGTATTTCATTGCTCTGGCAGAGAAAACACAGCTGTATTTTTTGAATGGCTATGACTTGTAAAATGCTGTTGTAAAAAGCATTTTTACAGCATTTTACTGCAGGGAGTTGGATGAGTTAAGTCTTATACAGGTGGATAAGATCTAAAAAAAATCTCTCTTCAAAAAAAGACAGTAAGCTGCATTTCAGTCTCTTGAGTGGGTGGGTGCTTGGTTTGCTCTCCCTGCAGTAAATGTGATGAAGTATCTAGCCTTTTGCATCTGCTGTCTGGGTTACTGGTTTCAGTGGGAGCAGTGGTTGTCCTGGGATGCTGTAAATGTGAACTAAATGAAAGAGAAGTGTTTTGACAAGGTCTGTCCTCTAAGATGTGTTTCTTACTTGTTTGACAACAGTATCACTAGTGCGTGCAAATCAAGTGCCTTACATTTTTTGTGTTGTGTTCTGAAAACTCATGAGAGTCATGAGATCCTTGGACTCAATACAAATATAGACTTCAGTGGTGATTTGTATTTCAATGGCTTTGTGAGATAAAGGGAAAAATCTCCATTTTTGTCTTTTTGGGCATAACATTAGTGTCTAGATGAATGGATGCTCCAGAATGAGCAACGGAAGCGTCACAAACCCATGCTCTAATATAAGGGAACAGGGTTTTCCACAGGTCTATGGGTAGGTCTGTGTGCCCATGGGATTGTCCTCCAAGTGCTCTTCAGTCTTTTCCTGCTTGTATTGTGGGGAAATTCTGGATCAGTAGGATGGCCTCATCACTTCAGGAGATGATGACAGCTTTGAGGTCATGCTGTGTAGACAAGACTCACCTGCAATGGTCCACTGTTTTTTCAACCTAGGAAAGTAAACTTAAGAGTACAACCACAAACTTGAATCAATGTAAGGCACAATGTGCTGTCGTGTGCCTTTGCCATCTGCGTGGTGTTGTGGCTCTTCTCTGGTGGCAGCTCTATGGTATTGTGCTGGTGTGGGAGAAAAATACGGCCCAACCATGACAGGCGTATGGAGTGGCAGTGGTATACAATGGCTAAGTATGCCCTTATATTTAAATGACACTTGTGCATAATCATTTATCAGACTTTGCAAGAATATAACGTATATACTACTTTAATTGCAGTGGGTTGAAACAGGAGATAATCAAGAAACATAATGGAATAGTTTATTGAGTTTGGAAACATCATGGATTTAGGAACATTGAGGAAAACCCTGGTTTGTTGTTTCAGTGTCATAAGGGACATTTCTGTCATATGTACAAGTATAACCATAGACTCTTTGCTGATGCATTGAGGAAAAACTGAAATAAAAATTTGAAACAGCTTTCACTATGCCTTCAGGGTAATTTTTTTTTGGTCAGGCCTGTATTTCTTTGTTTTCTATGCCAGAAGAGAAAGATGAGTCTTATTTATATAATATATCTTCTGAAGATCAGTGAAGTGAAAAAGAGGTTGTGAACATAATAATGCTTACCTGGCTTCTTAGCATTTTAAATGGTGCCCTGTAAATACCATTAAAGGATAAGTACTCTGGAAATCTGTCTGAAAATTTTAATCCTGAATCCTTTGTCTAATTGATACATGAACACAAACATCTGGATTTATGAAAACAGAATTAGGTTAAAAAGCTTTCTGTTGAAGTGCATCCTCAGAAGAGAAGAATTTTAGAGATCTACCTGAAAATATTTAAGTATCTCAATTTGAAGTCTAGATATTTCTATGTTAGTAAGTTATCAATAATTCCTTTGGAAAATAAAAGTTGCTAAAATAGTACCAGTCGCAACAAATTCTATATGATATTTTGGTAGAATCATAGGATAGTTTTAGCTGGCAGGCACCTTTAAAGGCCATCTAGTCCAAACTCACTGCCATGTGCAGGGATATCTTTCACTAGACCAGGTTGCTTAAGATATCCCTTCCAGAGCCAGGGGTTGAACTACATAATCTTTAGACTTGATCATCCTATTAATAATTTTTTTGATTTATACTAATTTAGGTAGGTCAAAGCATCTGTATGAAAATAGCAAAGAGTGTATGGTCTCCAGTGAGTGGCTTCAGACCGCATTCTTCTTTGTTCATTGTTATATTTAAATTGCTGTTGAAATTTGCTTCTTTTTTTTTCCCCCCCCAGTTTTTGATCTTCTTCCATATTCCAACAAAAGAGTGGTGCCAAACTTCTTGCAACAAGCATTTGGGGATCCGACACTGAATGAAGTGTACTTGCTCTCAACCTTCAAACTACAGCCAAAGAGCACAGCCACCGTTTTTGGCCTGTATTCATCAGCTGACAACAGCAAGCATTTTGAATTTACGGTAATGGGACGGATGAGTAAAGGTGAGTTGTTTGGAATATGTATGGTAAAACTAGTATTGGATCCGTAGTTACTGGTGTGTCACAGATGGATGTTGACAAATGTGTGATTAACCTTTGTGCTTGAGTCATTCCTGTTGCATGCTGTCACCTTTCACATCCTCTCTCACTCCTGTTCTCATTTCTTTCCTTCTTCTTGATGCTGCTCTCTCCTGGCCAGGGGAAGCTTACTGGACAATCAGCTGGTATCTCCACTTGACTGTGGTACTTGTTCTGAGCAATGCTAAGCAAGAAGGAAAAAACCATGGAGCATGGAGAAAGGAGTCAATTTTGGTTGGGTTTTTTTTTCCTTTTCTTTTTTTCCTTTTTCCCCTTGGGCCAGTCACTGGTTCTTATTATGCAGGAATTCGAGGGACACACACATAAGCTGCCTCATGCATATGAAAGGCAGGTTCTTGTTCTGCTGACACTGGAGGTTAGATGTGACTATGAAAGACAGACATTCCCAGCACTTACAGAATCTTTTGGGTGAATTAAAGTGTTTGTTCTCTATTGGAATCCATTAATCAGGAGTCAGAGTCGAAACTTCAGCCTATTTTTAGAAATAGAGAGCTTTCACTGATCTCTAAACCAGATCTAAGATATACTCCAATTTTAAGGTTCAGCAAAAAATTGTTGAATTATGTACATTATTGTTGCTCCACTGACTTCACCACTATGATAATATGCTACTGCAAGTGTTGTAATTGGGCAGCTGAGTCCAATATACTGTTAAACTCTACTGAGAAATTTCAGTAGATGCATAGGGAAATTATTCAATATACTGAAGAAAAGCACACCTTTTGGTTGGCAATTGTAAGGGAAGGAGTTAGATAAAACATTGGTAGTTTTATCAAAATCCTTCTGAGATCAGGGAATAAGAGCTGTGTGGGTTGACAGTGGGTAATACATGGCCACACAGCATTATCAGTAAGTGTCGTGCAACTCCTAACACTGACTGACTTATTTGCTGAATAAATGGTAGATAGCACATACTCCCCTTCTCCCTCTCTCACACAATTATGTGTGTAAATGTTGTACGTGTATACAGGAATGCATACAATTGTGTCTCTAAACATAAGAGTTTGAACATATCCAACTCGTCTTTTGATTTTCAAAAATACCTGCATGTCTGATGGTTATTGATACGCTTTAACACACTTGAGAAGCTTTCTGATGGAAGATAACGTGGCTTCTTTTGGTTTTGTTCTCGGTATATTGGTTTTTGAGAAGCTTCTCTGACAGGACAAACACAACAGTGGCATATAGAAAGGCAGCGTGAAGCAACTCGGTGTTGAGTAGATGTAACATATCTGATGTAAAGGACTGACCAAACAGAGGAAGGCTTTTTACAGCAGGACTGTTTCATGGATCTCTTTGCCTCCTTATTACCTTAGAGCACCTTGTGCAAGGCATATGGCAGTTTTCACATGTGATTTCTCCAAAAGTGTCAAGGATTCCGTATGGCTACTTTGTGCAATAAGTTAAAACGCATCCAGGTGATTGTCGTGTGAACTGAAAATATGGAGTGTGGGGGCTGTTTATGATCCTCTCAAGACTGGTCGTCATCACTTAAATGATGAGCCAATGTTGGCATCTCAGCAAAATGCACGGTCTAATTACCTACAGTTTTGGAAGAATGCATAAGTGCATTACTTCTTCTGCATGATATTTCCACTTATGCATCCAAATGTGATCCAAGGAGCTCAAAGCAGGCCTTAGTTATCCTTTACAATGTTCTGGTTTTGTTGTTGTATACCTGATAGTAACATCTTTATAATGCCTAAATGTTTTTAAAAGCACAGGTATAAATTACTGAGTAGTGGCTCAACTTGTTTTGGCTAGACCAATGTGCTTTCCAGAGGCAAATAGCATCCATGAGTTTCTTATCTTTTTTGAATTGTTTCTGTATGGAGAAAACAGCAGTTAATGCATAGACGTGTTGTAATTTACAAATTCTGTGAAGCAGCTCCTACTTCCTAGTAGAAGTGGTAGTTTAATTGAAAATCTGTTTCTTAAGCAGTACAGGTGACACTCCCATGAATGTAAAATATTCAAGCAGCAAACATGTACTGCAGGGGCGTGGATGAGTTAAATCTTATACAAGTGGAGACTGATCTAAAAAAATCTCTCTTCAAAAGCCTACTCTGGTTTAACAGATGGATATTTGGCTTTGGCTGAGGAAAAAACGGTTGGTCTTCCTTCCAAGGCTGATTGCTCCTTGTCCTGAAACTATTCTGGCAGGGTCCATTCTCAGCCCTGCCTCCATCTCCTCTTTTTTTCTGTAGGCTACTGTTGTGTTTGGTCACTCTGAAAGCAGGGCCCAGATCCAAAGACCTTGCCTTTTATATGACCAAGCATGCATAATATTCACATAAATAAAATGCCTGAGATCTACTGTGTCTTGCCTGATCTTTGAGTTTGCCAAGAAATGCTACCTTTTAGCAAGTTACTGGTGACCTCATGCACCTTTGCGGAAATCTCAGCTCTGGCAGTGTTTTGACATAGACAGCAGTGAAAACAATCTGATATTGATCACAGCTGCTGAGGCTCTGGCACTAGCATAGATTTTAAAGATGGGGATGTACCCTGTTCCATTCATGCTTATATAAATCTGGGGTTTTTTTAATCATTAAACTGAGCAATTAGAAAAATTGTATGGAGCATGTGCACAGTAACTCAGGTCACCAACAAACAGAGGTATCACAGCATCAAAGAAGTTACATTAATTGTGGGGAGATGGGAATATAATTTGCTAAATGAATAGAAATGGAATGGTTTCGGTAAGTAGGTGTTAGTAGCTCCGAAGACAGAGCTTTTCCTTTGGCTGTATCCACAATTTTTAGCTGACCTAGTGTCAGGCCATTTGTGAGCTTTCACTTGATGCAACAGTAGCAGCCTTCTGTGAACTTCAAACAGATGTTCACAAGAGCCAGCACTTAACTGTTTAGATGCCTGGCGGCTGTGCAGCTTGACTCCTCATGCATGTAACTCTTACCAGCAGGAAATAAGGGATATGCAGGCTGGTGATCAGTGGGATCTTTGAAACAGGGTCTGTCTGATATTTTAGGGTAGTTATGTGCTGTCCAGATGCACTTGGCTCCTTATTTTTGCAGATGTGCAGTCAGAGAGCCAGGGAGAGATTTTGTGGAGAGAACTAGCTAGCTGATCTAAGAGATTTAGCTTGCAGATCCTAGCTTACTGATCCAATTTCCTTGGGAAAGGGATGGTTTTTCAGTATTATGCAGCAAGTATTTGTTGTAAGAGTATTTGTTGGTCTGCTGTTGTGGTCTTTCATGGTGCATTTTACTTAATAAAATGAGAATTTTTATTGGATTTTGAAAGCATTCACTAATGCTTTTAAAAAGAGTTGAGAGGAGGCTTAGTCATCTTTAGGGCTGGGATATGCCTTTTCTGCACGATATTTTATTTGTTATTTTATTTGTTTTTACTGATTTATAGTCTATGGTATGTATTACTTTTCATTACATTATTTTGCACATTAGACATACTATGCATGTAGGAATTTTTGACATATTATAAATGTGTGAAGTACATAAATTTTCATGTCTTCTCCCATACGACCTCAACCAAGCCATCCACAGATCTAGGCACATTCCCACATCAAGGACTGGCTATGTCATGTTCTAGGAATAATCCTACTAGTTTGAACTAAAACCTACAAAATGTTAGCTTTTGCATAAAAACCTTCTCAATATGAGGAATGTCACAGGACCTGAAATCCATTCTCTAAGGACCCCTGCATGATATTTTATTTGTTTTTACTATTTGTTACAGAGAAGAGCGGGTTATCCGCTTGGGATCATGCTTCCTTTGCTTTCTTTAATTATGCATTTGGATACACTGTTAGATGGCTTCACTGACTGCTGTATGCATCACTGAAACTGATTTTTCTAGTTATACATTTCTGCTACAGAGTACTTCTAGGTCTTTAAGATATATACATGCCAAAGTGCTGACTACCTGCTACACCCTGTAACTTTACCTCTTGTATTTTGGCACATTATGCTCTGTAAAGTGACACTGGTTAAGGTAGCTAGAGAGGGCAGGACAAAGAAATGGAAAACACTGTGCAGGCAGTGATGCTTTACAACGAGGGTGTCATGCAAGAGTCCTGGTAGTGCTGCTCTGAGTTGATGTCCCATTTATTATTACCATTATGTCTGCATATGGGATGCATTTACAAAAGCTGACATTTGGAAAAATACCAGGGCAATTGCAGATTTCCACAGGATCTTCCTTGATCAGCCTTGGATGTCTGTTACCCTCTGACAGTCCTTCCATGTATTTTGTCCTAGTGGTGCTGCGCTATCTGAAGAGTGATGGAAGGTTGAATTCCGTGATCTTTAGCAACATCCAGCTGGCTGATGGGAAGCCTCATGCTGTCATCTTGTGGCTGAGTGGTCTGCAGCAGGGATTGAGCACGATAGAGTTGTATCTGGACTGCCTGCAAGTAGGTGCCATTGAGGACCTGCCAAAACCATTTTCAATGCTGTCTCAGAAGTTGGTGATGGTTGAGTTGCGCATTTTCCAGGAGAAACCACAGGTGAGCACGAAAACCGGGAACAGGCTGAACACTTTGAGGGATCACCAGCAATCCTCTTGATCGCTGAATTCAGACCTCAGCCCTTGCAGCAGCCAAGCTCTGCACAATAGTGCTTCAGTAATACTTGACTGTTAAGTTGTGAAATAAATGTAAAAATAACTTCTGTGGAACAGGTGAAATCTTAGCTTACGTGAACCCCGTAATAATTATGCTATTTATTTTAAACACATTTTTTAGCTTTTTAAGTGAAAAACAAAAAATTATTGCATCCTTCACTTCTGTATAGGTGTTTTTTGGGGACTGGACTTTTTGCAAGGCTTATCTGATACAGTAAGGGCAGATCTTCATCAGCTGTTCAGTATGAGCAATGCTTGACTGAGTATGGGGCTTTCCTCTTCGTAATAAGCCAAAGGGACTAAAAAAACAAAAGGAAGGGCATACTCTCGGAGTACCAGAGTGCGACCCTCATCTATTTGACTACAACAGCTTTTCTTCTTCTGTCTGCCAACCAGGAGTTGGCACAGCTTCCTGTCATCTCCCTGTCAGCAGTCCAAGATAAACAGTGACTCCCACAGCATCTTTCATCATCATTAATCCAAAGTATGCATTAGAAGGTGCAAGGCGGTCTGCCCCCTTTGTGTCATTGCAGGCTTGACAATGAGCTTTTTTGTATGGAGAATAACTGAGGTGCCCACATTCCTGACATGAATGTATACCTGTTTGAGAGGAGGGGAAAAAAGACTGCTTTGGATTCACTTTAAAAATAATCACATGCCACAGATATCTAAATATGTGAACTTCCTAGTATATGAGATCATATGAATTAAACAGTAAAAAAAAATCAAAATAAAACCACGGCTATGGGGAAATCTTCAAGGCAAAGGTTAGAGATTTTATACACTTCAGATGGTGATGGATGGCCCTGAAGTGAACAGTGTAGAAGTCCTGCATGCGTAGAAAATGGCATATCTCTCTTAAAAAAAATTAATTTACTTTGTCTGATATTTCCTATTTTTTTTCATTGTTGTACCCCAATTGTGAGCTGTGTTTTTTTTGGGAGCCCAGGATACACTAGATGAGCTGAAGCTGGTAATCGGAGGAACCGTTGCCGAAGTGGGGAACCTGCAGGATTGTTTTCTTCAACAAATTGAGCCTGTACCTCAGTACACTGGTAAGACCTGCAACCAGGAGTTAAAATTGTTCCTTACGATACCAGTGCAAGGAAGCTAATATGATGAATATTAAAAATGTGGAGCTTTATAGTCAAGTAATAAAAATTGTTTGACTGAATTATAGACATGATAATTTCTGTCAATGTTTTAGAAATACCTCAGTTTGAAGAGAAAACAGTCACTGTTGCTATTGATAAAACAATGAATTGCTGTCCTAGTGAAGAATTCTGTAATGATTAAAGAGCTTTTTAGCCTAATTTGGAAGGCAAATTTTTGTGATGATGATCTGTCTGTGTCAGCTTAATAATATTTTAAGTATTCAAATTGCAGACAATTGCAGACATAAAGTAGTCCTAAATGTGATACATTGCTACAGGTTTTATGAAAATAGGTAGATGGATGGCATAGCAAGACCTATCCATGTACTTATCCTCATGGCCGGTATTCATCTTTTGTTGAGCACTGGACTATCCCCAAGAAGGGAGGAGCAAGGTGTAAAGAAGGTCACAGGACACTTTGTTTGTGCTACAGCTACAGAACCTGTACGTCCATGTGGGAAGAGCCATTGCAAGGCAGCCACTAGTCCTGCCACAAGTTAGCTGAGGCTTTTGTCATCGGCTGAAGTGGACATGTGATTTAAAACCAATTCCTTTTCTGCCTGTGCTGAGCATTGTAGAGACTGAGCTGGGAACAGGGAGGAAAAGAAGGACCTGAGGCTACTGTAATTCCTGCAGGTCCCCAGGGGCTGGGTGCATTCCCCTGTGTTAGGCAAGAGTGCTTCCTGACATCTGGACACAGAAAATGTGAGCTAGACTGCCCCATCTGCAACTCTTCCTAGTTCCTGTCCATCTGCCTTTCTGCTGTGAGTGTGAGGGAGAATGAGTTCACGCTGTGTGTGCAATATGTTAATATGTGACAACCATGGGGAGAAAATTGAGATCAAGGTTTGAAATAGGATCCATGAGAAGTTCTTCTCTCTCACACCCTTTCCTGTCCCCCCTGCCAAACATATACCCTGCAGCATTGCTGGTTTTGGTAAGAAGAGACAAGATACAGAACTTTTATATGAGAGCATCCTGAGTACGTCACATGAATGTAGGCATCAGTGGTGTGCAATGACAACAAAATCTGGTTTACCTTTTAGCTATGTAAATCCTCAGTTGCACATACTTCTATTTTCTTGCTTCTTAGCATACATACACTTAGGTAAAAAACCCCCAGAGTTTTATCCTCAACTGTCTCTTTTTCACTAAATCAACAGGCATTTGAACACAGAAGGGCAGAGTAATTCACTATTTCCTTCTGCAAAAACTCACAGCTCTCTGAGTGAGGTTCCAGGTTGCAGCTGCTTTCTCATTTGTAATGTTTCGCTCACTAATCAATAATGCAAATGGTAGCAATACAGACAGATACTGTCTCTCTGTGGCTGCCTTTGCATGGCTTAGCCTTTCAAATTCAGTTGCTTATAACGTTCAAGTGGAATTAGTATCATTAATAATAATAAAAGAAAACTCACTGTGGTGGTTTGAAAACTCCCAAGGATCCAATTTTTAAATTCAAGCCCCCCTCCCACAATTTGCCTCTGTGAGAGGGTTTAGTGATGGTATGGACTTGATATCTTTTTCACCTCATGTGGAGAGTTTTCAGACAAAACACAACCATTCGTTATTGGGGGAAGGGGAAAATATTTACAAAGGTTTATTTACACACACACATATATATATATATTTACATTGAATTAAATTCCTCTTTTCCTTCAATAAAAGTCCAAGAAGAAAAGAGAAAAGTCCTTCTGTCACTCCTCAGGCCACAGTTCCCTCATTTCAGTTTTCTGTGGCACTGGTTAGTGTCCTTCATTTTCCTAAGGCAGCAGATTTAAATATGGCAGTCAGGATTTTTGTTCTTACTTTGTAGAAATTACAACCCCGAGCCCGAGCCTTTGGAGAATCTCCTTGTTGATCTTCACGCCTCTTGGGTTAGAACATTGAAGGCGGCTTTCAGTTCAGTCTTACCAAAGCTCCTCTGCTCTGTCTCAGCTCACCAGCATGACAGCAGCAGCAGCAGTGGAGGGTAGGGCCACCTCCTCCGCATTCCGTCCTGGCTCAGCTCTCAGGACGACTCTGGGTTTTTTAGCTCCTTTCTCTCTCTTTCTAGCTGCTGCTGCATTTCAGGACTCCCTAAGGGTTTGGAAGTCCACCCGTCCTCTTTTCGGGAGGTCTCTGAGTTTGGGAAAGTGATACAGTCTTACCCCATAACAGCTCTGCTGAGTTTTTCTCTGTTTCGTTGCCAGCTCTCCCTCCTGCAGGAACATCTCTGTGTCTCTCAGCCAGCTTCATGTTATCTTGCTGCTACTGGCTATCTTTTTGGCTTTCAGCCATCATTGTCTCTGTTCAGGGCTGCTCCACTGCCGCTTTCAATGTCTTCTGCTGCTGCTGACAGTAAGGAAACTCTTCCAGCTCTTGATTATGGGACCCGGTCCAGCTTTGACACTACACCGGGTCTCCCGTAGCCTCAGCTGGGGGCTGGGGGCCCTTGGCCCCCAGAGGGGCTCACTGGCTTCCTCCTGGCTCAAATCATGGCTACCTACCTTCTAAACTATCTTCACCACCTTCTCTTCCATTTCTGTGGGTATGTAGTTTCCGTAGGGCGCATATGAACCTTTGATTGGTCCAGTATTATCAGTGGGGCAAACCATTACTGCCCCAAAGAAAAGGTTTTTCAAACCACCACACTCACATGAATACCTTTGAAGTCTACATAACCAAATTCACCAAAGGAAAATGTTCAGATGTTCCAACAGCAATATTAACTCAGCTGCCATGCACTTTGTGTGTTCTTCGTGATGCCCTTTTATGGGAGCAATATATCAGATAACCACAGTTTTGCCTTCAGCCAGAAAAAGCTAGAATGCAAATGCCTAGCTGTATAGGGGTGTGAAACATATGTATTTTGGTGTGTGCTTTCATATTAATTGAAAAATCCTTGGCAGTGCTTTGGACCTGAATAGCTGTACATGGCTTTCACTGTGTTAACCAGTGAGCCTGGTTATTGCTCACTGCTTTGGCAGCAGCATTCCTTCCATATTCAGTCTGTGAGGCTGAGACACCTAAGCAGTAGAGGAGAATATGATGATCAGACACAGGTTGAACCTGTGTATTTGAGTCTTCCTGTTCGGGTAGGAAAATAGAGTGTAAGACGCACTAGGTTTGGTAGATGAGATTAGTATGCTGCATGTAATCATCACAAAATCATTCAAGTCAGAAGGAATCTTTGGGGATTGTCTGGTTCATGTAGGGTACCTGAACCTAAGAAAGTATAAAAAAATTAGCTATGTTGCACAAGACCAAAGATTCTTTTACCTGCCTACTGGTAGAGACAGTATGTCAATATAGGCCCAAGGGCAAGAGTGTAAGGAAGTGGAGTTTTAGTGTGGTTTTCTACACATACTCCCCTATTCTCCAGCAGTTCACTTTATTCACAGTTCTCAACTCAGAGATGAAGTCTCTGTGTTTTGTACTGAATGTATGTTTTCTTCCATGTATCTGTCCTGTCAGTTTTGAATGCACAGTCAAGATTGTCTCCTGGCAAGAAAGTTATCACGTTTGAGGAGACACCTCCTCCTGTTTACTTCGAACCTGCCTCTTCCTAATTCCAGATGCAACTTGTATGTATAGCTTCTTTGGTGGAGGATTATAGACTGACAGGAAACTGTTCTCTTGTCAGCCATCATCCATACTTTAATCATGACTGGATCTCTGGCCAAGTAACCACAGTCCTCCAGAGTTCAAGAGGCTGGACAATGCTCTCAGGCACATGATGTGATTCTTGGGGTTGTCCCATGGAGGGCCAGGAGTTTGACCCGATGATCCTTATGGGTCCCTTCCAACTCAGAATGTTCTATGATTCTATGAATATTGTTCTCTTTGAATGACACTTCAGGATTCTGACTTTGCCAGATGGGGGCAAGTGTGTTTCTTGAGCCAGTATTGGTCCCAAGAGAGCTAGAAGAAATATCTTTGAGGCATTTCATGGTGGCCTGCAGTTACACGTACGTGCATTTGCCCTGCTTGGGCCAATTAGCAGTGCAGTGAAGCTAGTTGCCTGCTCTAAATCCAAGGTTCTGTACTTGAACAGGTTGCCCAAAGAAGCTATCGATGCCCCATTAGGAAGTGTTGAAGGCCAGGCTAGATGGGGCTTTGAGCAGTCTGGTCAAATGAAACATGTTTCTGACATGGCCAGGGAATTAGACTAGATGATCTTTAAAGGTCTTTTCCAAACCAAACCATTTTATGATTCTGTATTACAAAGTCCTGACAAGAGAAAAACAGAGTGGCTCCCTGACATGACTTCAGTCTTACAGAGAATGAGCATGTCAAGGGACTTCAGTTCCCTGTTGGACAGTAATACTTAAGAGATGTCTCTGAACTTAATTATTACCATGAAAAGTATTCTGTTACTCATATTGTTACTGACTCAGAGTATGGAGCTAGGGACTAGCTGAACTGGGGAGTTGCCTTAGTGACTGGAGTGTGGATAAGAGAGACTACATGGTAGGACCTGTTATCTGTACAGCTTGAGGCTGGTATCTTAACCTGCTTGCTCCTGGGAAAAGCCCCCTGCAAGATATTTTGGGCTGACAGCTCCTTTAAAGGCCTCTCTGAATTCTTATCCCTGAACACTAGTCATTCTGCTGCAGGTGGGGCCTACTGTTGGAATTGGTTTTAAGTGGAAGAGAAAAAAATCCAATCAGGAATAGCCATCTGTTTCTGCTTTGCTGACTAGATTTGCAAATAGGACATGTAGTTCATGACAGTATAACCTGTTTAGTGCACCTTAACATTCAGCAGTCTGCAAAACTTAACTGCAGAATAGATCTGATTGAGGTGCTAGCCAACAAAAAGCATCTGAAATCTTGAGAATTTTTTGCAAATCTCAATCAATAATGCCTAAACCAGTCTTTGTTTAAAAAAAGAACTAACAAGTAAAACAAGAACAGATGTGTGCCAGGTTCCACTATGGAATTCTAAAATTCCCATGATATTATGTCCTGCCACTGTCCTCCAAATAAAAATAAGGCAAGGTTGGGACTAGAACAGAGGCAGGTTCTCTGACTCTTTAAACTTGTTCAGTGTTTTGATGAGAAAATCGGAAGTGAAGAAAACATAGTATGTGGAGAGTTGGACAGTTCCCAGTAGAATGTTTGGAAACAGTTACACATGCTTTGAAGTACAAAACAATGAGGTAGACATTAAGAGAAGCATTTTTCATATAAGCTTTCAGTACTCACAAAAATAACATGTGAATAAACCTCCCTGAAGCTATTGGGCATAAAATCAAAATATCCTGCCTGCCTAGACTGTGAAAGAGCATATATTTATGAAGTTTGTTTTTAAATACAGACTTAGAGAAGTAAACAAATATCTGCTTGAGAGACGTATAAACTCAGAAGTAATTAACAAATAGAAGGAATTACAGGCTACTGTACTAAACGTGCTCTCTGCTTCTCCTCTGTCACTGGCTCAAAATCACTATTTCATTTAATGGGTAAGAATCTCACATGAAGATCTTGGATTGACTCTGGTCCTTCTCTTATGGCTCATTACAGATGTAACTTTTGGTCTTGTCTTAGAGGTCTTTTTGTTACTTAGTATTGAGAACTGGTTTTGGTGTGCGTTCATAGAATCACAGAATATTCTGAGTTGGAAGGGACCCACAAGGATCATCAAGTCCATTTCCTGGTTCTGCACAGGACCATCCCCAAGAGTCACACTATGTGCCTGAGAGCATTGTCCAAACATTTCTTGAACTCAGTCAGGCTAGACCACTTCCCTGGGGAGCCTGTTCCAGTATCCAAACACCTTTTGGGTGAAGAACCTTTTTCTAATATCCAACCTAAACCTCCTCTGACACAACTTCAGGCCATTCCCTCGGATTCTGTCACTGGTCACCACAGAGAAGAGATCAGTGTCTGTCTCTCCACTTCCCCTCAGGAGGAAGTTGTAGACTGCAATGAGGTCTCCCCTCGGTCTCCTCTTCTCCAGGCTGAACAGACCAAGTGACTGCAGCCACTGCTCATACAGATTCCCCTCCAGATCCTTCACCATCCTTGTGACCCTCTTCTGGATAGTGTGTTGAGTTTTGCGAGTCCATACAAACTCTGCACCCACCAGGAGCAAATGCAGCCATGAAACTTGTGTACAGTGTGATGAGCTGCCTTTCAGAAGAAAAGCCAAATGCCTGTTGTAGTTACTAAAAGCACTTTTTTTCAGTGCAGGTGCTGTTGGTGGATGGTCAGAGCTTTCCAGTGAACTTGCTCAGAAATCTGGGTAACTCCACTTCAAAAAATGTCTACTAATTAGTTGTGGTGATGTGGAATGCACTTATGCAGGGTGTCTTCCCATTGTATGCACATATACTTCCTGCCCCAATGTTGTCCTCCTCCCCCAGGCGAGTCATCACAGATACCCAGTCTTGAAATACTGAAATAGGGTTGCTGGTCTAGGGGGGACGAGTAACACTGGTGGCATTAGTTGCCTTAGATAGCCTTGACACTGAAATAATGGTAGAGAAATCACAATTTTGTTTTTCTCTCTGTGGAGAGGTTTCTACTTTATCTGTTTCTGTGGTATACATGGAGTTCAGTTCCAGAAAAGCCTTGAGTTCATGCAAATTATACTATAAAAAGTTGAGATAAATACTGCATTTGCTATGGTGATTCCTACAGGGCTTAAATAACGGTAATGTCTGTCCTCCTTGGCTCTTCATGGGGTTTCCATCTTATATCTCAGAAATTACTACAGCAAATGAAGGAGAGTTATGTTTTGCACTCTTTTTCATTGCTGTTTCCCTGCAGGTGATTATAGTAGGCAGCTAATGGGTCAGATGATGCAGATGAACCAAATACTGGCAGATGTGAAAGACCTTCTCAGACAACAGGTACTGTATAAAGGCTTCAGTGTGAAATATCCCAAGTGTGCCCCTTTGATATAGTCAGTGCAGAATTCATGTGAGCAGTAAACTCCTGTGTAGAGTCCATTGCCTTGAAGGCGTGACACAATGGAGAAGAAATAACCATATAGGTCCTGGTACTCTGCTATAGAGAATCATTGAATGTGGGAGTGTAGGGGACTTGCTTTTTCAGATCCAGAAAATTTTGTGGCTTAAGTGGTGAGGAACTAGAGCAGCTGTCCTAGCCCACTGTTAGATAGCAGTAGGTTTGTTGCACAGAACTGAAATTGCATTTGTTTCAATTTCTTATGGGTGTCAGAACTGGAATTGCTGGTGGCATCCTTTGGTTAAATATGTCATTCTTAAGAGTCCTGTTGATGAAGGCTGAACTGAAGTACATCCATTATCACTATCCTTAATTTTATGGAGTATGAAGAGCATCTCATTTAAGACAGATTACCTATGTTGCATGGTTTGAGTGGCATCTTGGGGAATAACGTTTTTTCTTGCAGCCAGATGCAAACTGGAACTGCCTGTACCCAAATAATGGGTTTTTTTCTATATTCTCAAGGTCAAAGAAACAACATTTCTGAGAAATACCATAGCTGAGTGCCAGGCATGTGGTAAGTATTCCTATTAAGGCCTCTAATTCAGATGAGATGCACAGTTGTTTTAAAACTGGTATTGATTGTGTTAGCTTTATGTGGTTTCTAAGATGTATTTTTTTAAAAATACTGTGTCCAAAGTTCTAGATGTATTGAACACAAATTTAAAATAGATTTTCATTAGAGGAAAAAGCTTCCATAGCCCAGACACTCACTTATTGGGGGATAAAGCCCCACTAAACCAAAAAGTGTTACTCAGGTTGTACTGTCAGTTCTTGCTCTGCCACAAAGCTATGCCACATGTTCCTGTGGAGGGAGCCATTGTCTGCCAGGTATCTCATGCACAATCTTAATAGAAGGACAAGGGAGGAATCATGTTCTGCTCTAGCTGCTATTGTCAGTCTGAGGAAGATCCTATGCAGTCCACCTGAAGTTCATCTGATTCTGAGGAGGCAGTCCCTGGTTAACACCAGTAAGACCCAAAAAGGTGGTCATGATTTTTTCTCTATGTGAAAGAAATAATTACTTTTCTAAATGCCATTCCATGGCCCTCCTACGTAACTGACAATCAGGACAGGCATATAGTCATAAAAACCAATATACTCTCTTCCTGGGTGGGACGAAAGGTCTTAAATGCATCAGACCTTTTACTTGATTTCTTCTAGTCTGTAAGCCTCATCAAAACTCAAGTTGAGCTCTAGGCAGGATAACCCATATGTGTGAGTGTCAAAGAAAAAGTCTAAATCCTGCATACATCCCTACCAAGGTTCAGCACTTGCCAGAGTCTCAGAAAACCTTGGGCTGGTCTCTGTGCACCTAAACTAATGTACATGCATATTCCTGCAGTGTTTGTGGGCTGCCAGCTGCTGCTTCTTTATTCTTCTTATTTGTAGGCTTTCAGAGATGCTGCTGTTTCAGAGATGCTGTTGTGAAACCACAACCCTATTTTTCTTATGAAGTGGTTGTGTTGCTGATTTAGCCAGAGAAGTGCCTTATACTTGTACCCTCATACTTGAGTCCCTTGGGCCATCTGAGGTCACAGCCTTTCAGAGTTTTTTCCCCTGGCCAGCAGCAGATCTGTGCTGGGACTAACCTGGCAGGAGGACTCCCATGGGTAGCCAGGAGAAGCACGTGGACCTAAAAAAATAGCATCAGTTTCCCCTGGCTGGGGACACAGCAAGCTCCTGGGCCATTCCCAGTGTAAAGTCTCTTTGGCCACAGCACAGTGCAGAGACACAAAGTGTCTTGGGGATTTCTTCAGAATGCTTGCCCGCTGAAAGCCACAATGGATGTTTCTTTCAGTCGCTGAAACGGTTGTTCTTTCTGCATTAAAGGTTTGGGAACTGTGAGTTTTCCAACTCAGCTTCCTAGGCGCCCTAAACCCAAATGTGAAGTTAATTCCTGCTTCAGGGGAGTGAGGTGCGTGGAGACAACAGAAGGATTTCAATGTGGGCCCTGCCCTGAAGGACTCACAGGAAATGGAATTACGTGCTCAGATATCGATGAGGTAAAATAAAGACTTTCAGTGAATTAAAAAAAAAACCAAACAAATAACTTTTTCATATATATCAATGCATCGCTAGTACTTGCTGTCTTCAGCATTTGCTGACTGCTTGCACAGTGAATATTAATTCATTCTGATTTGATTCTATATCCCTATTTTGCTGTTGCTGCAACTTTATGGAGGTTCTATGTGTAAAAACTTGGAATACTCTGGTGAGTTGAGAAGTCACTTAAAAGAATTTAGTGTTTGGAAAAAAACACAAAATTAAAACCGACCAAAATGAACTTTTGACATAGTTGTTTCTATTCTACAAGAAATTGCAGTAGCTTGTGTTATAGGCTGCAGAAGCACTTGTCAAATTGAGCTTTGCTTCTTTAAATTGTCATGCTCCTGACACGTCGTACTCATGCCTTGGAGACCAAAATCTTCTCTTCAACCCAAACTGGACCCATCTTTTCAGCCTTACATTAAAAATCTATGAAAGAAAATAAACATTTATTGTCATTGTTCCTTTTGCTTCTTTGTGTTTGTGTTGAAATCAAATAATGCTGACTTAAATCTATGTTTTTCTTGTGCTACATATTAGAAGTTCAGAGCTTGCTTGTATTGAGGACTGAGTTAATAAGTTTACAGTCTCTTAAATGATTAAAAAAACCCTGTGTTAACTGGAATGTGGCACAGAAACAACAAAACCACTTACAGGTTCACTGCATTTTTTCTGTGTGATGATTTTTGACATTACTCTTTAGTAATTTTTGTGGAAAAGCACCTGGATGTAGTAGACCAGGGAACCAGCACAGTGAGGTCATAAACTGTGCCTGTGGATAACACAGTACTAGCAGTGTACCAGAATAATGATGTAAAACAGCAAAAGTAATTCCTTTCTTCTCCTTCCTAATATAGCAGGAGATATGCTTTCTCTACTCCTTTGATTTGCTCCTTCCTATAGGCCATCACCAAGGAGGATGTCCTGTTTCTGTCTGTGAAAAACACTGGGGGGAGAAAGTGGGTTGAGTGTGGCCATTTCCTGAGCTGTAGGCAATATGTCTTGTTTTGCCTCATGTGACATGAACTGTGTCTGCTGCAACAGAAGGTGCAGAAAAATGGAGGTGAAGCTCTGAAATGTGAAGGCAAGTGGTGAAACCAAGACAACTGTGGTATGAGTTTCATGCCACAGACAGCTATGGTGAGAGACTGAAATCAGCCTGGGTGGAGCCCACCAGTACGGATAGGCTTCACCTCCTGAGCTATTTGCAGACTGAGGCAGAGCATGGCAATTGCCTCCTCTCTGCTCTTTTCGGGGTTGGAGCAACTCTAGCCGTTACAGCAGTGGTGGGAAAACAGACTGAGACTGATTTGTAGTGGCTTGATATTAACATGGTTTTCTCTGAGCAGTCAGGCTCTGCCACAGGAGATTGATGTGCCTTCATCTTCCTGCCACCACTCCACATGACAGATCTGATCTCAGATTAGAAATAGGAAGGAAATTTTGCCAAAATGGTGTTATAGAGGTATGGACTTGCTTACACGAGGTCTTTATGTGCTACTAAAATTACCACCTAGTCTGGAGTGGTTTTGTTCAACAGTAAATACCTATTTAGCAGCTAGATTTTTACTTACAGTTACACAGGGACAAATAAAGAAGCAGTGAATGGCAATAATTTTGAATTGTCTAATTAGAGGGGATGTGTCATGTTACTTGTTTTCCCGAGTTAACTAAGACTATGAAGGAAAGTAAATTTTTTTAAAAGCTTTTTAGTAATCTCTTCTGGGAAAGCATCTTTCTACTGAATGAACTATTTGTGTGCTTCCTCGCACCAGGTATTTAAAAAGAAGTTCATGTATGAATTCTGATAAAGACAAATCTAGAAGATTCCTCATTAAGAGCTGCCATCACCTTTTCTGAGGCTGTTAGCATCTCTGCAGTACACTCCCTAATTCATTATCAGTTTAAAGACATTACTTTGGTGTGCTGGTGCCTGGTATCTCAGGAGCAGCAGCTCTGCTCTGTGTGCTGTGTAGTTTGGGTGCCCTCTGCTGCCTGCAATAAAAAATTCACAGCAAAATAAGGAGCACAAAATGTCTGTCCTAGGTTTTACATTTCCCTTGTATTGCTTACGGATCTACTTCCAACAAATATTCCTGTCAAACACCCTTGGATATTAAACACACCTTTTCTTGTTTTTGTGTGTGTGTGTGTTTGGTTACAAGTTGTATGTCTCTTGTAGGTGAATATTGTCTGGTGCCGTGTGTGTGTGTGTGTGTGTGTGTTCTTCCTCCATCTTGCAGATGTTCTTCTGTTAGCAATGGAAGGGGAAAAAAAAAAGCATATATTTAAACCTCTTCTATATTTCTTTCTCATGTTTCTCATTTATTGTTGTCTTTGAGCCTGTCTAATGCAGCATGATGGCATGTTGATGTTTGCAGTACTCTTATAAATGTTACCTAGCAGCTAGTGTTGATTTTGGAAAGGCAGCAATGCAAGATGTGCTTCCCAAACTGGCACCCACCAGTTCAGTGAAATCAGTCACAGCTGTTCTGTAAGACTGCATAAGGCAATGAAGTGAATGGTGCCTTCAGGCCAGGGGTGATTTGTGGACATATGATATTTTGGGACAAGTGCCTCCATTCTCCATGGGCCTCCATTCTAGAAGCATGTGGGTGCCACTGACACATCCCTGCTTATCTGGTTCATGTTTGATTTCCTTCTGGCTGTGGGATTTGCACAAATATAAATGAAGGAAAATACTGCTGCAACTTCTGTGTGTACCAAAAAAACCCACAGGACTGTTTGGAGGGTTGGAGTTATGTGGCTTTCCTTATGTTGTGGTCTGGAGACTTCCAGGGGGCTTTGAGCCTCCAAGGGATCTGAACCTGTCCAGCCAAAGGAAGGACTGAGGATGAGAGCTTAGGACATCAACTACAGGCTGTAGTAGAAGATTGCAAATGTTACTTAAATTACAGAGACTTGCTGAGGTCAGAAATACCTGCAGAGATGATTTTCTCTGTAAGCTGTCTCTGAACAGACGACATACAGACATTACTTGTAGCATTACCTTTGGTGAGAAGGCTGTGTGTTTAGTCAGAGTCTGGATGTTACTGAAGCACAAACGTGCTTGGTTCATTTTTTTCATTGCAGTGCCGTTACAACCCTTGCTTCCCTGGAGTGCGATGTGTGAACACTGCTCCAGGTTTCCAATGTGAGACCTGTCCTCTAGGATATACAGGACAAACCATGCAAGGGGTAGGAATCAGCTATGCCAAGAGCAATAAGCAGGTGAGTGGCAGCATCCCTGTGACAACTGCCATTGCAAGGTGCTGGTTTTACATCAGTGGTGCATCTGTATTTTACTGTAAATTTTTTTGCATGTTCCTGTAGCACCCTACAATAGGAACATCATTTTTATCTAAACTCTTGTGGGTGAACCACAGGACATCCTAAAGTTGAAATTTTCTATATCACAGTGTCTCTTCAGGATTTGAAATGTTGTCCTAAGGGTATGTCTGTGCCATTCTGAGAGCGGTTTCAGGACAGGCTATGTCTCTTTTCTAGTCTTAAATTTTGGTGTCTTTTCTTCAGACTTCATTTTCAAATTGACATGTTTTTTTATTATTTGTTGATTTGGTTTATTGCTAGGTCTGCTTAGACATTGATGAATGTCAGAATGGTGGACTTGGAGTCTGCGTTCCGAATTCTCATTGCATAAACACTTTGGTAAGCATCTTTTCATTTACGGCTTTAAAAAATTGATTGTTTTAAAATTCCGTGAGGCTAGGATTGGATTTATAGGTCTGATTGAAGAGCTGAATAATATAATTTGTTTCTTGGCTTCATATAAATCAAAGAATCCCTTCATCTTTTCCTGGCTAACAGTAAAAAATCAATACTTGATTTGTCATTAACACATCCATCTGAATTGTATTTCATCACTTTCCCTGAAGAATGGCAGGAGCTCTTCTCTCCATACCATCCAGTTTTGTGTGTTTGTGAGTATGTTATTGCAAGGAACCGCCTCTGAAAGATTAAAACTTTTCTTACTCTCATCTCTTCCCACCTGGGAACTGCTGCAGCAAGCTGTTCCCCTGAGGGCTCTCTTTGTAGGAGTAATGTCTTCACTTCATCAGGTTATGTATACAGTACCAGATATCCCTCTAAATAAATGGAAAAGAGGAGAGCTGCAATTGGTTCAATATTTTTAATATCGATAGATATTAAATCGAGGAGAGCAAGCATGGCAGAAGTAGGAATGGTTTGAAAGATGTTAGGATCCAATAAAAGGGGCATACAACCACATTAATGCTATGAAGCAAGAATAACATAATCATAGAATCATTTAGGTTAGAAAATACCTATTTTCTATCCTGAAGGTCATTGAGTCCAACTGTTAACCCAGCACTGCCAAGCCCACCACAAAACCATTTCCCCAAGTGCCATATCCACTCTTTTTTTTAATACTTCCAAGGATAGTGATTCCACCACTTCTCTGGGCAGTCTGTTCCAATGAGTGACAATCCTTTTTGTGAAGAAATTCTTCGTAATACTCAATCTTAATCTCTCGTAGTGCAACTTGAGGCCATTTCTTCTTGTCTGATCACCTGTTACTTGGGAGAAAAAACTGACCACCACCTTGTTACAACTTCCTTTAAGGTAGTTGTAGAAAGTTATAAGGCCTCCCCTGAGCCCCCTTTTCTCCAAGGCTAAATGCCTCCAGCTCCCTCAGCCACTCCTTGTAAGACTTTACTCCAGCCCTTTCACCAGCTCCATTGCCCTTCTCTAGACACACTCCAGCGCCACAATGTCCTTCTTGTGGTGAAGGGCCCACAGCCCTTCACCATAGGATTTGAGGTCTGATCTCACCAGTGCTGAGTACAGAGGGACAATCACTGCCCTGGTCTTGCTGGCCGCACTGTTTCTGATACAAGACAGGATTCCAATGGCCTTCTTGGCCACCTGGGCACACTTCTGGCTCTTGTTCAGCCACTGTCAACCAGCACCCCCAGGTCCTTTTCCCCTGGATAGCTTTGCAGCCACTCCTCCCCAGCCTGTAGCACTGCCTGGGGTTGTTATGACCCAAGTGCAGGACCTACCACTGGGCCTTGTTGAACCTCAGACCATTGGCTTCAGCTCACAGATCCAGCCTGTCCAGATGCCTCTGCAGAGCCTTCCTAACCTCCAACAAATCAAGACTCCTGCCCAGTTTGGTGTCATCTGCAAACTGACTTGATCCCCTCATCCTGATCACTGATAAAGATATTAAACAGGACTGGCCCCAGTGTTGAGCCCTGGGGGGCTACCAGCTGGATGTAATTCCATTCAGCACCACTCTCTGGGCTCAACCATCCAGAGAGCTTTTTACCAACTGAAGACCACACCTGTCCAAGCCATCAGCTGTAGGTTTCTCCTGGAGAATGCTGTGGGAGACAGTGTCAAAGTCTTTACTGAAATCTAGGCAGACAACATCTGCAGCCTTTCCCTCATCCACTACATGGGCCACCCTGTCATAGGAGAAGATCAGGTTGGTCAAGCGTGACCTGCCTTTCACAAACCCATGCTGGCTGGGCCTGATCCTATGCTACAGGCTTTCTTCATAGCAAGAGAAGGGTTGGAAGTATCCTTCAGGTGTAAAGGTGGTCCTTTCTGCAGCAAGGTATTACTTAGGCTGCCATTTGTGTTCAGTGTTAGCTTTCCTTGTGAACAACCTAGATTTCTTAGGACTGCTTTCACTGCTTAGTATGTTTGTCTCTTTTTTTATTATATAGAACATCTACTGACACATGTTGTATCTCGCTGCAGGACTAGACATGACTAGTCATCTTCAGGAGGCCATCCGGCCCTGTCTGGAAAGGGCGCCAAGTGTCCTGCCATCTGTCAAAACAGAGCAGTGTGGGGTTTCTAATCCTGTCTCCCTTCAGAAACAGTTTGGTCTGGAAATGCTGCCTTAAAGGCTATTTTAATGCATACCTGGGCTTGATAAAGGACAGCATATAGTGAGCAAATTCATCAGACTTCAGAAGATACTATCCCAGTGTCCATTAGGATAAAGTGGATGGGTTGGTGTGTTTTATATAGGCCATACCATTTGCATGGTTCAAGGACTATTTTACTCTTCAGTCATCAGTATATTTTTGTCTTCATCCTGAAAGTATGCAGACAGAACAGAGTTAAAATTTGTAATGAAGTTAGGATTAGAGGACAAAAATAATGCCTGTCTGAGTAGTAAATAGATTTCTCAATGAGGATGGAATAGGACAGTCCTGACAGTTCCTCCAACAGACTTTGTACGTGAAGAATGAAGTCATATGAACGACCTCAGTTTCACAAAGGGGTAGATGCACATGTTTGTCAGAGCTCTGCCCATTTCTGTTCCTTGACATGTCAAAAAATAGTTATTCTCTATTAGGTAAAAAGATTGTTTTCTTTAATTAACTTTTATTTCATAAGTTACAAGTCTACAAATATATCAGACAGAGACAAAAGGCATATTGGATGCCTAAAGAAGACCTCAACTTATCGCATCTATCTGTTTATATCTCATATGATTATTGTCCCAGCACATAATGAGATTCCTTGGCTTAGCAACTTTATGCTCATTTACACGAGAGAGGGCACAAATATAAAATATATATGTATGTGTCTAGGTAAACCACTGCAAAAAGTTACATGGATGTTCTTATTTCTGTGTAGGATGTGAGGATGACTGTGTTTTCAACTACAGAATTCTTTTCTGAAGAAAACAATTTAGCTAAAATTGATTTAAAAACATGTAAGTTTAAAAAATGAAATAAAATAGGCCAAACACATGATGAACTTCCTTATCTCTCTTCAATTAAAGTTGTGCCCAGTTGAGTTCAAATAAACTGATGGGTGTGGTTTACACTGAAATAAGATCATCCAGTATGATTAATCAGGTGCTACTTAGAGTTTTATGCAAAGTTTCAGCCACCTGGAAGTGGCTCAGAGTGATGCTGGCAGGGACAAGGCATCATGAAGAAGCTTTTGCTGCTACATGACTTTTCTCTGGCTTAACAAAAGGCTGATCTAAATAAGAGTTGAGTGTGTGTTCTAGCATGCACTGTGGAAGCGAAACATCAGTTTCACGTGGAAAATACAATTTGTTCACAGTGCAAGGGGCTTCAAGCAATGAAAAACTACACTTGCACAGTGTAAACAGTGTGATGTGAATCTCGCTCGTGTGCATGTTTTAAAAAGAAAAAAATTCCTGTTAAAAGGCTGGCTGCTAATTTTTTGTTCTTACAGGGGTCTTACCACTGTGGCCAATGCAAACCAGGATATACAGGAGACCAAATCAGGGGATGCCAGGCTGAACGGAGCTGCAGAAATCGAGCCCTCAATCCATGCAGCATCCATGCCCGTTGTATTGAGGAGAGGAGAGGAGAGGTGACGTGTATTGTGAGTTCATAAATTCATGCATTTGTCCAGTGAAAAATAGCCTTTTTTAGGCTGGAACTGAGAAAGTCTTTTTGGTCATTTTAAACAGTTGGATATTTTACTAGATTGTGGCTCACTGGCCCGGACCAGGTATCTTGCCATTGGTTTGTTCTTGCTGCCTGTCTGTAAAGCAGACATGCTTGTGTATCATATTTATTGTGCCTTTGTAATTAGGTCTTTGGGAATGGCTTTTGTAGACTTTCTGTAGCTTCCTCAGAAGAAACTGTCAAGTGTCGCTCTACAGAAGACATCACAAGGACAAATTCCTCTCCTGGTGCTCAGCTACATAGCTATGAGTAGGGATCCTCTCTGCATGGTCAACATGCCTGTATTTGCCAGGTGATAGAGATGGTATTTTTCCAAGTGAGATCACAGATTCTAGGCACAGGTAGGCTGTACTGTGCCCCCTCAGCTGTGGGAGCAGAGGGGCACCAAGTGGCATATGAACTGCTATTGTACAAGTCTGACTGAAGTATATTAGTTAGTTTTTCCAGCTAGCAAGGGGAAGCAAGAGACTAATCCCATGTCCTAATTTTGGATGCTGTGCATACTTTTGCTGGCACTTGCTTCGGTCTCATTTTTAAGTATATCTATTTCAAAAAAGAATAATCCAGGATATTTTAAGTCCATGCTGTAATGGAAAGATTCCTAGATACTTGTATTAGAGGAGAGGCCAGAGTTTGACATGCAGTTCTATACATATATCTTTCACACAGATTAGGCATTGGTTTGAAACAGTACCAATTTAATTGGGTAGGAGAAACTTGTGTGCAAATGCACTTCCTCTGCTGATGCCAACTTAGTAAATGTCAATACAGTTTTCTCTTAAAACTTCCTCTAGTTCTTGAGATACTGAGCAAAACACACTCATCCCATTGATACAGGAGAATTTGATCTAAGCAAGTAAGGAGATAAAATCAGAACATAAATCTGTAGTAGAACAAAGGAGGTTTAGAACTAACTACAGCTTACACAGCTATAAAATGCAGGATATGTCGAGATGAACTGAAAGAATGCAATATGTTCTGATCATAAAACTTAAACAGAACAGATTGGCTCAAGAGACTGGAAAATTACATGTACATGTTATAACTGTGCATGAGCACTAAAAAGTTCATTTAAAGGACAGTAACTCTGAGGGTCGTAGAAGACCCCCAAGACCACACAAAGCTAGAATGACACATGCTTTGTATAGGTGAAATTTATGATAATGATTTATCAGAAATATCATAAATATGTAAGCTATTTTGGGGAATTAAAATGAATATTAATGTATATGTGAAATAAAAAGGGGAAGATTTTTCTTTGATGGTATGCATGATAGGCAGAATGATCCCCCATGCATCCAGCACTTTCAATAAAGAATGCCTGCTCTCTGAATAAGCACATTGGAGTCAGAAGGTTTTCTTTATTTTCTGAGATTTCAGTATCACCATCTAACCGTGGGCCCCTTGCTGAGATGCTAGGTGCATACTCTGTCTATTTTCTTTTACTCCATCTGCAGGTAAGGAACCAAAGTTAGTTCCTGGCCAGTGGCTCGAAGCAATCCGTATTTTCAACTGAAATCATTAGGTGTTGCAGGCACACATTCCACTTGACATCAAGTTTTAGCTCTTTCTAGCTATGTCTAGATACAGAGAACTTGAAACAAAGACTCTCTTTCCACACTGAGAGATGCATTGTACCTCATTGCATTGTACCTCATTGTACTTCAGTGCCTGGCCATGATTTCTGTATGTTAGTGTTTTCAAGATGGGTGTGGAGTTTCCCTCTTGAATATTTCTACAGTGACTCATTAACCTTTTGATAGTACTACCATGGTGTTTTATTGATAGTGTGGCATTGGCTGGGCTGGTGATGGTTATATTTGTGGAAAAGATGTTGACATTGATGGCTACCCTAACGAAGAACTCTCATGCACTGCTGAAAACTGCAGAAAGGTAAGAAATTCTTTTTAAATCCTCTAATAATTCAGAGCATGAAGGGATGAAGAGGACGACTGGAAAAAACATGACTAGATGTATTAATCTTTTTTCCAAGTTATTGAATTCTTCTGTATAGATTCTATTTCATTGGATGAATCAGTTATTTAAAACAATAATAGAAAAAAAGCCATTCAAATTATGAAAGCATGCAGTTTACCCATAGAACACCAGACTTGTCTCCTTTTTTGTCTAGGACAATTGCAGATTTGTCCCAAACTCTGGACAAGAAGATGCTGATCGTGATGGAATTGGAGATGCCTGTGACGATGACGCAGATGGAGATGGCATTCCCAACGAGCAGGTGCTGTGTATAGATCAGGATGCAGGGGTCTGTGCAAACAGAAGGACTTCCCATTACTGCAATGGGCAGTGATTCTGAAATCTGACTCACTATTTGCCAGAGCTTGTTCCATACTCATCACTTTCAGTGACTCCCTAAATCCTGTCTTTTACTTTTATATAATGCTCATTCTTACAAAACATGAAACACTCAGCCTTAAGTCCCACCAGTGTATCTGCCATTATTATCTTTCAGCATTTAATTCTGCAGCTTTTTGTGTACAGAACTTGTGTTCTTCTGAAACAGTCTCCCAAAGCATGGCCTTCAGGAACATTACTTGCATAATGTCTTTCTTTTTCAAAAGCAGGTTGATCTGACAACACATTTTATGAGGGATCCAAACCCTACATAAATTAATGGTGTCTTGCCAATAACTTGAAAAAGCTTTGATCATGTCCTCAATGCAGAAGAGGTTTCCATGAGGGTACACAACTGCAGAATAGATCATAGAATAAATTCAAATTGTAAAAGCTCTTTTGTATTCACCCTGTATTCTTAGCAGCCAACTATTGTTCTGCATTAAGATACTTCACTGATACTGCTTAATGCACTTCTGAGGAAACAACAAGAACACTTTATCCAGATTAAAAAGATCCATGTGGAGCTAGGGCAGACTAAGAATCACAGGTCTGTCTCAGGCTGTTTTGCCACAGAGGCCCACCCTCAATTCTGGTAGCTTAAGTCAACTGGTTTTATTAATATTTATAAGGAAAAATGAATGTTAAATCCTCCTTTATCTGTAAATCTACTTGCAGGTTCAGCAAGTCCAGAATCAAGTAACTTCTGTTTTGTTGCTGAGTTCTGTTCTTCCTCTGCGTATGCAACAGGATGTTGATGTGCTAGGTGGGGGGTAGAAATTTTATACCACTTTGAAATAAAGTTTTCTTCATATGCCTCCTGATGGACTTTGAGAGTCAATAACAGCTTGTTTGACAAAACAAACAAACAAAAAAAACCCCATCAAAATCCAAACAAAGACTTGTCCCTTTTTGCATCAAAAAGTTCTGCTTTCCCAAGTGTTTCAGCTTTAGTTTGAGTCTGTACCAGAAGGGGGCAATGGCCTTTCACAGAGAGTGTCTGCAAACCTTGTCAGGGACTCCAAACTGCAGCTTTTGAGAAGGACCATATTAGAAAGCCAGGGCACCAAAACAGGTTCCTCACCATGGATGCATCCAAAATGAGAATCAGAAGTCAAAGTTGTAAGTAAAGCCTTATGGTACTGAGTGTTTGTGCTTAGGATTTCCACAGAGTGGTTCGAAGCAGAGCTTTGAGGGAGCAAGTGAAGTCTGATCTGGAGTTAATATTCACATAAAATTTCAAACTCCTCACACTAATAATTTTTTTTGAAAGTAGAAATAAATACAAGGATTATATAAATCCACTAAAATAAGAATTAAATATGCAGGGCCTGGCTCATGCCTGATTCTGGTGTCTCTTGCAGGATAACTGTGTCTTGGCTCCCAATATTAATCAGAGAAACAGTGACCAAGATATCTTTGGAGATGCTTGTGACAACTGCCGCAATATCCTCAATAATGACCAGAGGGACACAGATGGTGATGGGAAAGGAGATGCTTGTGATGATGACATGGATGGAGATGGTTGGTGATTTTTCACTTTCAGCTTCTCTGATGTTATTCAAACTTGCCCAGAGTGTGCATTAGATTAGGAGATTTCCTGTCACCAGCTGTAGCACATAGTCTTTCTCCATGAAACCTGTGTTTGGAATCCTTTAATTTACTTAATATATATCTTTTAGCCTGCGTTGGAAGCACTGAACATTGTAACAGATAAACCAAGCCATGTTTTATGTATAAGTTGAGGTTGTTGGTTATTCAGCATTTCCTTAAAGGTATAAATGTGTCCTAGAGCATCCAGCTGCCCGTAACTGATGCCCAAGAGCTGCATACTGTATTATTTTCATTGGTGTAGGAGGCTTGAAAGAAGTGAAAAAAATCAAAACCCTTCAAATGTAATAATGGAGATGAAATGTGCCACGGCCCGGTGGGAGAAGGGATAGGGATGCGACACTGCACAGAGGGTTCTGACACGGTAGAAGGTCAGGGTGCAATGGCCACTTTATTGAAGAAGAACAGGGACTTATATAGGGTTTGGGTAAGGGAAGGTCCGATAACTGGGCCAGAGCATGGGATTGACATCTCAGGGTGAAACAGGATTGGGGAACAGGAAAAGGAGGGAGGAACCTGGGAGGAGTTTGGTAACTGGGGCCAATGGGGGCTCACTCTGCACTGCGGCACTCATCAGCCAATCACAGTGGGATGAGTGGGAAACCAGGGGAGAACAGGGTGGTAAACAACTTTTGGCGGGTAAATGTGAGGGCAAGTACAGACATGCCCTGAATAGTACAAACCAAGGGGATTAACATAGAAATATATGTGGGGGTACATTAAACATGATATAAAACAGGGAAATAACAGGAAAGTCCGTGAATATTGGTCATCTTTAGGCTCCGTATAAGTCTCTCCAGGCTTTGAATCTCTCCCAATCACTCTGGCATTCCTCCACAGAAATGTCCTATCCTGTAAACTGTGATGCAGGAACAGGATGGAATGAATTTTATCTAATTAATAAAGTGCGTGTGTTGGGTGGAAAGCTGTTCCTTAGTGAGATGTTTCTAACTACTATTAAATGAATGGATGTACACCTAAAAAAGATTTGTAGTGCAGGCTTATAATTTCATTGCAAGATTAAGTAGTTGCTGAAAAGGAATAGTGTCTTTACTGTTCTTAATGTTTATATTGTCCAGTAACAGCTACAGGAATTGTCTTTAACTAACATCCAATCCATTTTTCCCTAGGTATTAAGAACCTTTTGGATAATTGTCAAAGGATTCCCAATGAAGACCAGGAGGACACGGATAATGATGGTGTTGGTGATGCTTGTGATAGCTGCCCTACAGTCAGCAACCCAAACCAGGTTAGCAGGCAGAAAGAAAAAATTATCCTTGTTTAGGGAGAGGTCCAAAAAGATGCAAACAATGAGACAACCCACACAGCCATAGTGTTTATATTTTAATAATAAAGTATATCTAGGTATTCAGGGAAGTTTTATGGAGCTGTAGACTCCCCTGATGTGAGAAAGGGGAGCCATCAGTTGTATTCTCATAGCTTGGGATGTTGTTAGGACCTCTGCCCTGCCTGTATTTTCTACTGTCATGCTCTGAAATGTGGGCTGTAGTCCCACGTAGTCCAATGCCAGACTCCACACAGGGTTGTGATTTAGTTACACTCGACATGTCTTTAATTAGGACAAAATCCCTGTGTCCTTATTTACCAAAACTTCCAATGCTCCTAGGTGAGAAATCATTGGAACTTTTCATATGTTTGAAATTCTGATTCTAATGAAAAATGTTGGAAACTATAGAGAAACATAGTAGCTTTTTAAAACTGCTTAAGAAATCAACCTTTGTTAGAAATGAGGGATACTCATTTTCAGTACTAGAGCAATCTGGCTAGAAGTGTGCCAATCAAGTATAACACTGTTTATTCACTGTCTTTTTTTCTTTAATAAAACTGACTTTTTCGTTAGATGGATGATGCAAGCAAGAAAATATATTCTGCAAAACCAATGTTTTCTCATGCTTTTATTTTTATGGCATTGGATTTGGTTGTGTTTTGACTTAATACTGCTATTTTAGTAGATGGCAGCTGATACTGGAACTTGTTCTGTTTCCTTTTGCAGTCAGATGTTGACAATGACCTGGTTGGAGATTCCTGTGATACCAATCAGGACAGGTAAGCTGTGTTGTGCCTTGTAACAGCAGCAGGGAAGTGAAAGAGGCTAGTCTTAAGCTGAAGGATGCCACTGATTCCTGGAGAGCTGTAATTCTTCAGACTAGCCTGGATTTAATTCCAGAGAGATGTCATTTCAAAATCAGTGTTATGATTTATCAGCCTTGTTGGTTCACTTTCTGGTAGCAGTACAGTTGTGGAGCCCTTCACCCTTAGCCCCATTCACACAGGCCTTCTGTGAGTTCCCCTATCAGTGGCTTTTACATGCCCTGGGCATTCAGAGGAGCACATCCTATGAAAAATTGCATTGCTTGTATGGAAGCAGTTTCTGCATAACCAGCTTTGGGGGTGGTAAGTCCTCCCCTGTGCTCCTCACTTACAGCAAGAGACAAGGGAAATGATAAATTCTGTGCTGGCACAGATTTTCACCAGCCACAGACAGATGTTTCACCCCAGAGCCATTGGTGGGTGCTGCTCTCTGCAACAGGAGTTGCCGGAAGCCCACTTTCACCACGAAAAACTTGATACGCAGGGGTGTGAGAGCGGTGCTTGTTTTTAAACAATTCTGATTTCAGGTGCTCATGTAGTCCCCCATAAAGTTTCATTCACGCCCAACGTGCATATTCATGAGCACCAAGACATTTGTGCACAATGTGCACATGGGACAAGGGACACCAGGTATTCAGCTCATGCTGTCTCCTGGGTGCCTTTTAATTGGTGACACTGCACTTGTTGGATGTGCCTTACATGCCCTTTAGGAGTGGAGATTGTTTGAGATCTTGGTCTCTGGTAAGTTTCCCACACCATGTTAGGCTTCTTTTTCTTTTCCTTATCTGAGTATTTCTATAGCTCCTGGCTTAGTCTTTGCCTTCCTGCCACCTTATCATACAGTCCCTCTTTGTTCATGGCCTCCTTGCAGTTCAGCACCTGAGCAACAACAGCGTGTATTGCCCCACAGGTCTGCTTCCAGGTCCAGGGTGCCACTGGTATGTTTCCTGCTCATGTGTCTGTGCTGTTTCCTGTGCAGAGGCAGGACCTGATGCTGGTATGCCATTTCTTTTTGTTTCTTTGCTTGCAGCGATGGCGATGGGCACCAGGACAGCACAGACAATTGCCCTACCGTTATTAACAGCTCCCAGCTAGACACAGATAAGGATGGGCTGGGTGACGAGTGTGATGAGGATGATGACAATGATGGTATTCCTGACCTCTTGCCCCCGGGCCCTGACAACTGCAGGCTGGTTCCCAACCCAGGGCAGGAAGATGATAATGGTGAGATGGGCCTTCAGGAGCCATTTCAGTTCTTAGGCACTGCATTCATCTCCAGGCATTAGATATGCGTAGCAAGATCCAACACAGTCACTACATGTGCATACACTCATCCCAGGAGGAACACCAACACACAAGGGCCCTTTGGCCAAAGCAGAGGTCCTCAGGTCCCTTTCTCAGGCACTGCAGCCAGCAGGTCTGACACTCCACTTGCTTCCTGGACACCCTGATACAGTGGCTAGGCGAGGTGTGACTATTTGCCTGCACCATAAATCTTCTTTCACTTCTCTGATGCATTCAGGTGATGGAGTTGGAGATGTCTGCGAGTCTGATTTTGACCAGGATACAGTGATTGATCAGATTGATGTGTGCCCTGAGAACGCAGAGATCACATTGACAGACTTCAGGGCCTATCAGACCGTGGTGTTGGACCCAGAGGGGGATGCGCAGATTGATCCCAACTGGGTGGTTCTGAACCAGGTAAAAATACACTTTGGTCTTTCTTACCTGTCTGAAAAAGATCATTTGAAAACCACAGTAAAACTGGCTCTGTAGTTGCTGGACCTCTGGCAAACATCAGAAGTGGAAGCTGTTGGTTGGTAGACTGTTTTCAGGAGCAATAGTAAAATAAAAAATAAAATTCTTTCTTTTAGCATATGATAGCTTGAAACTTGATGCTGCTAATAATCTAAAATAATAATAAATAGTTTGATGCTCTTAATAATCTAAAATTATATACTGGCCAGCTTATTCTGGGTGGATTTCATTACATTAGACTTTTGTGTCACTCTATTAAAATATTTCTGTAGCAAGCAATCCTTTCCAGAATTTAGAAGTCTGACCTTCTAAATAGCAGAGCATGTCATAGAATTATAGAGTGGTTTGGGTTGGAAGGAGACCTTGAAGATCATCTAGTTCCAACCCCCCGCCATAGCCAGGGATACCTTCAACTAGACCAAGTTGCTCAGAGCCCCAGCCAACTTGATCTTAAACACTTCCATGGATGGGGCATCCACAGCTTCTCTGAGCAATCTGTTCCAGTGCCTCATCACCCTCACAGTACAAAAAAATTTCCTAACATCTAATTTGAACCTGCTCTCTTCAAGTTTGAAGCCATTGCCCCTTGTCCTTACATGCTCTTGTAAAAAGTCCTTCTTAATCTTTCTTGTAGGCTCCCTTCAGGTACTAGAAGGCTGCTATTAGGTCACCCCAAAGCTTTCACTTTTCCAGACTGAACAAACCCAGTTTTCTCAGCCCTTCCTCATAGGAGAGGTGCTCCAGCCCTCTAATCAACTTGGTGGCCCTCCTCTGGACTTGCTCCAACAGGTTTGATGTCCTTCCTGCGCTGTGGACCCCAGCTGATGCAGTACTCCAGTACTCCTAGATGGAGTCCAGTAACTGCTATTTACACTAAAAAATTTTAGCTTTCAGGAGGCTAATGTGTTCTGAGTCACAAGGAACATGCAATTTATTCCCACTGCCAAAGTCTCTGCCAAGCCAGCTGGGATATATACATCTTCCTTACATCACTGGCAGTCAGTTTAATCCTGAACTCTGTGTTCAAACTGTAAGAGGTAAGCCTAGGCAAAGCTCTCTTCCTCCCACAACCCTCTCTCCCTGCCCCCCAATTTTGGCCAGTTTCAGTGATTTCCAGAAGATTGTGGGAGGGAAAGTATCAGAAAACCAGTATGGCCAATTCTACAATGGGAAAACACAAATCTTTCCTGACTCAGGCAGGTCACGCAAGCAATTGAAACTAGTATTTTGATTGTAGTTCCTATTTCAATTCAGAACTACAAGTTTTACAGATATGTTGTGAGCAAACAGAGGAGTCTGATAGAGAGGGTGCTAGAGGGAGGCAAGGCTTAGCCAACCCAGCTTCCCATGCATGCTAACCACCCTGAATTTACTCTCACAGGGCATGGAAATTGTGCAGACTATGAACAGTGATCCTGGCCTTGCTGTTGGTATGTACCCTCTTCTGAGATGCAAGTTTTACAGAAGAAAACATAGCATATGAACATGTGTTCTTCAGAATTGTTTTTAACCTGTGTGTATCCTCAGGTTACACAGCTTTTAATGGCGTTGACTTTGAGGGCACTTTTCACGTGAACACAGTGACAGATGATGACTATGCTGGCTTTATCTTTGGTTATCAAGACAGCTCTAGCTTTTATGTGGTGATGTGGAAACAGACAGAGCAGACGTACTGGCAAGCAACTCCCTTCAGAGCTGTTGCAGAGCCCGGCATTCAGCTAAAGGTACTGGTTGTGGCTCCCAGCTGGGGACACAGTGGTCACTGCAGCCTGGCTGTGCTCTCCTGGCATGTGTTGGCCATGGGTGAAGCCATCATGCTGTGCAGGGGCCAAGCCATCAAGTGTCAGCCATGCTGCTCGACTGCAGTTCTCTATTTGCAACTTGTGTCAAAATGTCAGGCAGCTGCCACACAGCCCTTTTAATGGCACTGTTTTTTAAGGAACTTCATCTTTCCTTTCTTGTCAGCTGGAGCATTTGTTTTCTGCAGTGATTGTGCTCTGACTGTAATTGGTCAGATTGCCTCCTTCTCCTTGGTCCTGGTACCCAGTTGCTTTTCCATGCAGACAGGGGGTGCAGTTGTACAACAAAAGTTAGCAGCTTGTGAGCAGCAGGGAGGGTACAGACCCGCTCCCCACTACAAAAAAATTTATGGCTCCTGAAAGTGACATTTCACTATGGTCATCATTGAAAATTGTATTTCTGCAGGCTGTGAAATCCAAGACAGGTCCTGGCGAGCACCTCCGCAACTCCCTCTGGCACACGGGGGACACCAGTGATCAGGTTAGGCTGCTGTGGAAGGATCCCCGAAATGTAGGGTGGAAAGACAAAGTCTCCTATCGGTGGTTCTTGCAGCACAGACCTCAGATTGGTTATATCAGGTAAGAGAGAAAAGGATAGATAAGAGTACAAATACATGTCTGCCTGAACTGTTGTTTCTCAACACCTGATTCAGATGATAATCTTAGAGTTTAGATTATGTCTGGGATTTGCATTGATGAAGCCTTATAATAGCCTTTACATATTCTAGGATAATAGAATTAATAAAAGTTGTCATTTAAAGGTTGTGAGCCTAACTAAGATGAGTAATTATCCTGATTTGATAGATTTGAGATTACTCAGCATACATTCAGAGCTTTGTAATGCATGTTATCTATTCTTATTTTGATATTTGGGAGAAAGAAAAAGTTACTAAAAAAACCCAAAAATCAGCATTTGGGAGGAAACATCTTACTCTGCAACATCCAGCAGAGAAATGAGCAGGAATTATGCTTGTATATCAAGGTATATCAGTAGTTTTTCAAAAAAATCACCACCCTGCAGTTGAGATGCAGTAAATCGATGGTTTAATTACTCCACTTTTCTAGTGCATCATCTTCAGTGGTAATTGGAGTGAGCATGTTTGACTTTTATGGTAAAATGGATTAAGAACATTTACACTGTCTACTTTTGTGTCCCAGCCACAGGGCAGCAGTGAATAGATCTTGGGCAAGTTTTGTTTAGACCAAGCAGTTTGTCAAGCTGCTTCAGAAGCAAACATCTCCTATGATTGCAGTCTCTCCAGTCAGCCTAAGTAATGGCCCCTGCAACTGGGAAAGGTAGCAAAGTCATGTAATAGAATCCTTCAAAAACTAAAGGCAGCCAAGCCTAAATGGAACCTCTGCCAGCTCTCTGTCCACATCTTGCTGTAGTTTGGTTAGGCCAGATGCCACAGACCATTATGTGTCTAGAAAAGGTTTTATGAGGCTTCAAGGAAGCCTAGGAAAAAATCACTTCAGCCAGCCTCTCCCATGAAAATTGGAAAGACAACAAGTTCTATTTATAGTAGATACTTTTGAACTGCCTCAGCAAATCAGGAAATAAACTCTGGAACATAGCAGGAGGTGGGTTTTTTTTCTTATTTTATGAAAAGACACAGGAACTTTCTTTCCCTTCACCACGTGCTACTTTCTTGCCTGTCTCATCAGCAGTATCCTCATCCACAACAGGGCTCTCCAGGCTCATCATCTTCTAAGTAATTTACCTAGTAAACTTACCCGAAGGCTGAGGACTTTTTGTGGACAGTGCTGCAACAGTTCAGCTGGCTGCTGCCCTCAAATACAGGGCATGTGCTCAGGAGCTGGCAGAGTAATCACCTTTCACACAGCTATTTGGGAATTTGCTGATGGGTTTTTAACAAGAGGACGCTAGATCAGCAAAACTGTTCCTAGAATTAATCATATTCACATTTTTGAAGAAATCTCACAGACAAGTTTAAGGTTCCAAATAGTTTGTTTGAAATCTTGCCTATTAAAAAAAAACAAACAAAAAACTTCAGTTTCAAACTGTGTGAGATAATATCCATCTGGCTTTTTTCAACTGACCTAGTCTGGTTCTCCCTTTCTCCTATTATTATCGACTGTGGAAAATTTCAAGAGCTAAAGTTCTCAGCCTGATTGACTAAACATTCCAGGGCTTTTGTAGGATGTGTAGAAACTCCCCAACACACCCTCCCTGGCTGGCTCTTGCCACCATGCAGCATTGCTTTCATTTCCAGCCTACAGAGGAGCTAGCTTAACTGCTTTTTCTCCCCTGGGCTAGACGGGAGGGATAGCATGTCCAAGGCTAGAGTCTCCATGGATAACAACATTACTTTCAGGAATGTTGCAGCCTTAGAAAAGACCTAATAGAGCTTCTGTTTGCTTTCCTTAAGGGCAAGATTTTATGAAGGCTCTGACCTCGTGGCAGACTCTGGTGTAACTATAGACACCACAATGCGTGGAGGACGGCTTGGAGTTTTTTGCTTCTCTCAGGAAAACATTATTTGGTCTAACCTGAAATATCGCTGCAATGGTAATATAGCTCTTACTTCCTTTTAGCTCACAACTAGCAAGTGACCATGAAGAACTGGTAGTGTGGCTGTTGGATTAAGCCATTTTGATCCTTTCCTTTGCCTTTCATTTACAAGGATTTCACAGCTGTGAAACACCTCCCCTGACACCAGCAGCACACTGCAGCCCCGCCAGATGGGAACTAATGCCTCAGAGCTGCTCCTCCCGGAGCAGTAGATTGTGCCAACTGAGTAGTATAGCTGTCATCAGAGAATTAGGAACATTATTTAAAACCAACTGACCGCGAGAGCTGTACACACACAATAAATACCTCAGGCCATCACGTATGTAGGATGCCTTGAGCTTTGAATAAAGGATGAAATATACCTGGAGGACCAGTGGGCTCAATCACTAGGCATCAGTGTCACTCATGTACTTGCTGGTTGCTCCTGCATGTGCGAGGGGAAGATCATCATTCCTCCCATGGAGGAATCCTTCTGACTCTGTGGGAGAGTGCTGTCTTGCTTCTCTTGGGGCAAGAGCCTTGCAGCTTAGCTCTGATCTCCCACTATGTAAAATATCTCAAACCTTGATCACTCTACACAGAAGCTGATCACATCAGGGTATTTATGCCCTGGCAGCAGTTCAGCTAGATTGAAGCAGTTCAGCTAGATTCAGCTAGATAGTAGCATCAATCCCTACCCAGCCTTTAGAAAACAATTTACCAGCCAAGTTGGGATAGTTTCCTTGTCTGCTTTCTTGTGTATCCAAGAAACCCAGTCCAGCTCCTGTAGGGGGCTGCATGGCCACTCTGTGGCGTGTTCTGCTGATGGACTCTGGTTCTTGGACATCCAGTGCACTAGGCTGGCACTTGGAGGTCATGGTTAAACAGGGGAACTTCTAGACAGCAGTGCTTACAATTAAAAATTACTTTATATACATCTTAAACAATATATAGTTTCCCAAAGCTGCCACTGAGTCATACTTACCTGGCAGTAAGCAGGCATCTGGCTTTGCTGCAGGAGCTACAGAAGTTAATGAAACCCAGTCAAAAAGTCTCTGGAGTCCCCAGGTATCTCTGATCTCATTTCAGACAAGTTCCTACATTTGCAGAAAAGGCTTGAAAATAATTTCAAGCCTTAAAAAAAGTGCTCAACACAAAGCAAAGGACTTATCCCTTTTTTTTCTATATACTGTGTGTGTTTATACAGTTACATTCTTTTTTGAGTTTAGAATTACCTGTCCTGCATCAGGGTGGAAATAATCAGATTAAAGCTGATGTGATGCAGTTGAATTTCACTGCTGTGGCTTCCTTGTTGGCTGCAGCTTTAGCTGTACAGTTGGCTCTGTGGCTCTCCAGATAAAATGTTCTGGGACCTGGCAAAGGCAGACTGCAAACAGCACTTCAAACAGAACTGTAGCTACTCTTATGACATTGATCCATCTCCAGCTCCCTTCGCCAAGTCTCAGGTCTTTCTGCCAGTTGCTATTTGTCTTGAGGTTAATGTTTTTTGTCCCTTCTTGTGGCATGGGAAACCATCACAGGGAAGCTGAATTAGGATACATGAGAAACAGAAATGCTGACACTGCAAACGTGTCTGGTGTGCAGAGCAAGACAACCGCTTCTGTTGCCTTTCTGGTCAGCATTTCTTAATCAAAGTTTAAGAGTGCAAGGCACAAAGTTTTCAAAAAAATGTAATCTGAAGATTGATAATCCTCTGTTGTGGGCTAGCACTATAGCACTCACTGCCTTGTTAGCCTCTCTGTGATTTTCAGTGGTGTACAGCTAAAACTGAAAACATTTCCTGTTCATTCTTAAGGTGTAAACAAAAGAGAAGCATGTTACCTAAAAAAAAAAGAGGAGGTGGCTTATTCATTAATTTAATTGCTCCTTGATTTTGTCAGAAGAGACTTAACTTCTGTATATTTTCCTGTTTTCAGACACCATCCCAGAGGACTTTCAAGAATTTCAAGCGCAGCAATTTGGTGTTGGGGATATTTAAGAAGTAAAAGCAAACTAACATTGCTATTGCAAACAGTAAAACAATATATTTTAAATCCTTATATGATCGTTGTTGTCTGAGTGCACACCACAGCTTTGTTCTCATTGATGTGACTATGTCAGACTTTTTTTTGGTATGAAAGAGAAAATAAAAAGGAGACAAAATAGACCTGGGCTTCACTTGTTTTCAAATTTGTCCTAAAATCTAGGGAGTAGCATGTAAATGGAGTGACACTTGCTTAAAACATTCTCAGGAAAAGTTTGAATCTATTGCCTTTTTGGATTCTGTATTAAACACGGTGGGCCAGAAAGCAAAGCTTTGTCTACCTTGGATGTGTTAGAAACAACAGGTTGCATCTGGGCATGAAGTGGTTCGGAGCTGTCTGGCCAAGCCAAGGGCTTCTTAGTTACTTTCCAGTCCTGCTAGGAATAGCATATCTCCTTTAGTACAGTTATTTCTGTAAAGGAGATAGTATCTCCTTTAGGGCAGTTTAATACCTTTGGAGACCTGTTACCTTTATCAGACCTCTTCTAAGAACTCTATTAGGCCTCCCAGCCCTCCCACTTCCAGAAACTATGAGTAACACTATCGCATCCAGTAAAAGCAAAAAAAGCTGACTGCAGGGCGATGTAGTCATATCTTATGGCTTGCACAAGACTGAAACAAAAGAAAAAGACTACGGAGATAAATGCAGAATCACCTAGACAGAGAAAATAATCCTTTCACATAAAGAAAGCCAGGCTTTGACCTGAGCTCTGTTGGCAGGTACTGCAATCTTATGCAAATAAGTCACCAAGTTAAAACCCCAAAACACTGCATTAAGCATTAGTAATCATTAGAAAAGGACTGGAATTGTATCACAATGCAGTCTATAATTTGAAGCGCAGAAAGGTGTTGATAAAGTGTGCATTTCTACTACATTCTTTTTAAAAATGGAACTAGGAAAGGAAGGAAGTACAAACTCCAAGGACCGCTGAATAGAAGGATATTGCAGCTTATAGGATAGTTACTTTAAAAAGGACAGTGGGAAACAGCACTTCAGCCTGGGGGGAGGAGGAAGGAGGAAATAAAAAGGGAATCAGAAATAGCTCTGAGAAAATAAACAGTCGTAGCTCTTTCCCAGCGCAAGGATACAGGTGAAATGCTGAGTTTAATTATCAGGTAAAAGTATCAAAACAACAACAACAACAAAAGTTTCCTGTTTTCAGTACAATAAATATACCCTTAAGGGTATTACAAGCTATCAAAGGCTTTGACTACTGGCAGACTTTTCTGTGTGGGCTTGTCCACCATAGGCAATGTTTCTGGAAGCAGGGTGGCCCTGGGACCTGTCCCATGAAGGATCCCAGACTCCCACAGCAAAGAGCATGATGCAGGAGCATTCCTCTGGCTCAGTGCTTCATGGTGAAAGGTCCTCCAGTTTCAGTCCTCCTTTGCCCTTGGCTTCACAGCTTCACAAAACCCAACTTCACTCATCAGGTTTTCAGAGGACTGAAAGGCTACTTACTTTGGAACAGAGAGGGCATTGTCAAATTATGTTTAAAAGATGAGGAAAAAAATGTATTTTTCTAGCTGAACATGGGCTGTAACTGCAGTATTGTTCATTTATGAAGAACACACACTGTAAAGCAAATTTATGTCTTCCTTGTCGTACATTTGCATTTCACTGATGGAGCCCCTTCTCCAGGCAGAATTCCTCTCTGAACAGTCTGGCCACAGGTTGGGCAGAAGGCAGTCACTTGTACTATGCTCACACACATATTGCTGCAGAAAAACTGGGGCCTGCAGTGCACACATTTTGCACAAGTGATCTCCTCACAGTGGATGCAACAGGCCTGGCCCACCCTGACCCATCTTCAGCACATACAGCACACACCAGCTCCAAAACCATGATTGCAGTAGGCCTCTGAATCCTTCCCAGCCTCCAAACCTCTGCTCAGCCCTCCCATCTGCAGCTGGAGCCTCTCGTCCTGCTACAGTGGCTGGGAGGGAGCATCCTGGGCCTCTGCCATACCAGTTGGCTTACCACTGTGAAGCTTGCCAATTTCCAGGCTCTCTTCTATGCCACGGCCACTGGCCACTGGAGGATAGAAAGTGAGATATAGGCTCTGGCTCTTGAGCTGTTGTCAAAGGTAATTGAGTGAAGCTGTGAGACTCTTACCTCCCCTGGCAGAAAACATACTGGCTTGCTCTACTGGCAGCCACAGAAACAAATCACAGCTCAGATAGCCACAACTTTTCCTTTGTTTCAGAAGGTGCTGTTGGGACCTTACGATGGGATGCCAGAGCTCACTATGACCGTTGTATTGACACATCAAGAGCTGGGCAGCTTGCAAGCTCAGGAAGAATGAAGTCCAGCTGTCGCAGACAAACATTTGCCTCAAGAAGATCAAAGTCTGGGAAACCTACCCCTCACATTCACATCAGGGATTGTGCAGTCCTTGTGTAAAAGAGTGTAAACTAGCTTCTCTAGCACCATGACCCCCTTCTGGACTATTGTGCAATGCAGACATAGCTCCATGTGTGGCCTCTGGCAAGTGAAGACAGTGCAATCCCATTTCTTTAAAACTGAACATACAGCTCTCTCTCTTGCTCCCACCACCTGCACAGCAGCTGTTACTACTCTGGAGCTCAGAGTCCTGTAGCTCCTGCACCGGGGTCTGACATCTCAACAAAGGTTAACTCTTTCCTGTGTGCTGCAAACACCATGGCAAACACACTTCAAGTGTTTCTGGTCCTTGAAAACCATCTCCTGTTTTGAATCCCAAGAATGGAACATCCTGCCAGGATGCTGTGGGGTTGGGTGAGGGCAGAGTGGGCAGACTGGTGAGAGGCTGCCGAGCAAAGACAGTCAGCTCTCACAACCCTTTGGCACCACTCAAGAACCCCTCTCTGCTTTGCACCCAGGTCAAAATCCATGCTTCCCAGCTACAGGGCACCAAAATTCTCTCATGCACCAGACCTGCACAAGGAATAGCAGCCACCACTGGACCCTTGGAAGCTTGGTCAGCACAGGGAACTGTGTCCTGGTGTGGGTCTGTTAGAGCCTCTGGCATGGGTGCCACCAGTACCAGCAGGCAGGCTGCAGTGGGCACATGCTGAAACAGGACATGGATGGTGAGAGGCAAGAAACCTCCAACAAACAAAGCACTTTCCCTGGTGCAGATCCAGGCATGTCAAATTCAGCAGCAGCCCACTCTACCATCTGGGCAAGTGGGAAAAAAAAAAAAATCAGACATCTGTGTTTCAAACAAATGCACAGGCTTCAGTGCTACACCAGCCTTGAGGGTATTTTGTTTGCACTGTCAAAGTATCTCACATGTCTCAAGGAGCTGGATTGTACGGAACAGATGTCACAGACAAATCTATGCAATCTGTCATTGTCCAATATTATGCTCTGGAGAAATACAAAAATAACATGGACAGTGAAGCCTTGTAATAGTCTATAGTGGTTAAAAAAATCCAAATTCAGTGGCTGAAAAAATCAACCAATTTACTTTTACTGGCTCAGTAACCGCTTAGCTCATATATTTAGACACTTTTTAAGTTTCTCCTAGACTGAATTGACTTTTCAACTTCTATGTATCACAAGAATTAATTTCAAATGTAAGAAAAATTTTATTGATCCATAAATCTATAACAATACATTCACTCAATATACAAAAGGAAGTGTCCATAAAAACCATTAACACGCTTTATGAAGGCAAAGTTGTTAACTATTTTACAATGAAGATATTACAATTCTGAAATCTTACCAATCCTTTAAAAGTCAAACTGTTACAGTTGCTACAGATCACAACACTAGCAAAAAATAATTAAACTAGCAAACCTCCACTTCACTGAGCTACAGTTTAATAAAATAAAACCACATATACATGCCAAAAGGTTCCCTTGAGATACTAAGAACCTTGAAAAAGAGTAATTAAAATCCCCTCAACATTATGAAAATGTATTCATATTTTGACTATTTTGCATCCAGTTTTTGAACACGGCATATATGAGACTGAACACCATGCACTGGTAGTGAACAAAAAGCAGATAGTGAACCCATAAATTCCGACTTAATCTTTTCTCAGCTTGTATGTTACAAGTGGAATGATTTTCTCTGGAAGTTAATTCTTCTAGCTTTCAGTGTGCATGGATGTCAAATGACACCTAAGCACCCAGACTTGAATCAGCAGAGGAAAACCAAAGCTACAGTATGATCAATAATTCAGTATTTCCCCATAGCTTTCCAAAATTCTTGGCTTCGCACTTTCTTCTTGGCTTTGCACTGAGGCTTCTTTGGCAAAAGCACGGCTGCAGTGCTGCATCTTGCAGCTCTGGTGAGCAAAAGCCCTGGAAGCTTTAAGCTGCTGGAGTGGTTTCAGAGCTGATGACTATGGCTCCAAACAAGTCTGTGCAAATGGCTGCATGCTATGCACTGGCAATTACTGGAGACTGGCAAACGGGGAGGGAAGTCAATGTGGCTTATATCTGAAATAAATTCCAACTTTTTAAAACCAACATTAATGAACAGGTGTGAAATTAATCAAATCCAGGTTTGATAAAAAAACCAAATCAAAACGGGATTTAAGATTTAAACCTACAGAGTTTCTTTGGGCACTAGAAAGCAGTCATCATGCCAGTCTCTCAAAGTTTCTACTTCAAACCGTGCACAGTGTGTCTGCATTCCCACTGTGGAGCACTTGGGCATTCTGCCATCAGGATGTTGAAAATGCAGAGACATACCAGTTCCCAAGCTACATATCTTGTTACGAGTACAAAAAGCCAAAGCTTTCGAAGCACTTCACCCCTGGCATTCCCTTGTACAGTCACATGAAACATTGAATTCTAAATACTGTTTACAAAACTGAAGACACAAGTAAAATGTCCTGGTGCTGATTATGTGTTTCCCTCCAACAAGAACTTGTAGGCCACTTCAGAAAACAAAGAAGTAGTTTTCACAGAGGAAAACTGATCCATGTAATAAACTATGATCATTGACTTTCCTTCAATGCTGCAGGCTGTCCTGCTATGAAAAGGAAAGGATCAATAAGACCTGGCAAAGAGGTCTTTCCTAGTTTCTAGCACCAAAGACATCCCATTTGACAGGCAGCAGGTTGCCTGGAAGTGAAACAGGTTTGCAATGCCTTTAAAAAACAAATCCAAGGAGAAAAGGCAAATAAAATAAGATATAGCCTGCAAGCAAAAGACATTGCTTCTAAAGCCCAGAAGGAAAAATGAGAGCAAAATTTTAGCTGCAGATAATCTCAATTTGTCTAGCCACCTAGGTACAGTCTTACGGTATTTTGCCTCATCAACTTACTTAGGAGAAAAGCCTAACAGTTTATAGTTTATAAAATATTTATAGTATGTTTTAAAAGCAGTTAATTATTTTGTTGCTGATCTGTTCAGAGATGCCCACGATACTGTGGGCTGCTACCCAAAGTACAAGCAGCACTATCTTGAGTATCCAAATTTTCCTGATCCATCAGGAAAAAACAGAGAAGCAGCTTTTTTGTAAGTGCAAAGTAATAGCAAAGTTCTAGCCCAGAAATGGCTGCAGCAGTGGCTGACAAAGCAGTTACATATGCACAGCTTATAATATACCAAAGCA